ACTGAGGCTGGAACTAAAGAAGCAAGAACTCGTCTCAAGCAGGAACAAAAGGATGTCTTGGACATTGCAGCTGCAGCAGGATCTTTGCTATATGGTGCAGGAATAGATGATTCTGTGTAAGTTAAAAAAAAAAGTTTCTTTCTTAGTTTTATTCGTACTTTTAACTTTAAACGCGCTTTTCTCAAAACACAATTTTTGAAGTCGGTGGTCACGATTTCTTAAAAACTAATGAACCGATCTTTCTGAAATTTTGCATACTTCTTCTAAATTGGATTGACTAGTGATTGAACGAAGGATTCTTCATTTCATTAATTAGAAGTAATTTTACAAAACTAAACGTACTGAAAATTTTACCAAAAATTTCACTCTTTTGTTTACAACTCTGCCAAAAATTCAAATTTTAATATTTTTTAAAATCCTTCGTTCAATCACGAGCTATACTCATCTACTAACAGAAAATTTTTGGTTTTTTGATTTCAGATAAAAATATCACGAGTTATCGTGACCACCGCAAAGGCACTTTTTTTCGAGGCGTCGCCGGAAATCAACTCTCAACGGCACAATTTTCAATATTTTTGGCTGAAAATTTTTTGAGATATAGTTCAAATTCAACCCTTTCATGTACATAAAATTTTTGTATTGAAAAATTTTTTAATTATATGAAAAAAAAATTCGAGAAAATATGCTATTTATTGAGCTTCAGAACCGCGCTTCAAAATAAGCCCTTAATGTGTATATCATGTTCCTTTGATGTCTGCGATTGATCTCAATTGCGCTGCTTATATTTTTTTCAGAAAAAATCCAAATATTGTCGGGATCGACTTTATGGAAGGAAAAATGTAGGAGATAGAGCGTTTTGAAATTCTCCCCATTCGGCAAGACCGGCCGAGAGCGCCACAGGTATATTATGGCAACTGCTCAGTCACTGTTTGTCTGTCTCTCTCGCTCGCTTCTCTCACTTTCTAACGGTCTCCTAGACATTACGAAAATATTGTAGCTCAATTAAGCCACGAGATTTCTTTGA